GATATGGTCCCGTCTAGGGAGACCCATCAAAAGCCTGGCCCCAGCATTCTGCACTAACTGCAGCTTCCAAATCTGCAACAAAGGCAGCCCCATGTAGAGGCCTTAGTTGTCCCATTTCATCAAGTCTCAGCTTTCTCATAAGACTACTGATACTCCAGGACAGACACAGAGTGCCTGTTCAGTGCAAATGGGAATTTCTCTTTATTTTGCTGTGCATATGTGCATGTCTTCTCAGTAAGGATGTCAGCCTCCAGGTGAGACCTGGGGATCCCTCAGAATCACAGCTCATCTCCAGACTACAGAAACCAGTTCCCCTGGAGAAAAGGGAAGATTTGGAGGGTGAACTCTATGGTTCCTGTCCTCCCCAGGCTCCATCTGCGAATCTCCAGGAGTTTCCCAACCTGGATCTGGCAACCCTACCCCACCCATCCCATGCTGGTGGCCAGGGGGGACCTGTCAACCCTACTTCTCTGCTGTCATTCCAACAAGCCTCTAATGCTATAGCTTTCCCAATAACTCTGCCTTGCCTATATCTGACCTGTGTTAATATATGCAAGGAAGGGAAATGAGCTCTAAAACCCTTTTGGCAAGAGGGTTCTGCAAGAGAGGGTTCTGCGTGTTTCGATGTGGAAAGCTGAAGCTGAGATGTCAGAGTTCTTCACTGAACTGAATTTTTCCCCCAGATGGAAGGTGGAAAAATAGCTGATTTTTTTTTTTTTGAAAAAAATTATCTTTAAATTACAGACCTGTCTCTGCCAGGTCCGCAGTGGTAACTACCAGAGCAGGAGTGGCAGGCAGTGTTGCAGCAATCTCAGACTGAAATGTGCTCAGCAGTTAGAGAGCGCCGTCTCCAGCAATGTTATTATTACAAAATGAAATTGTGCTTTTTTCATCTGTTTGTTGCTGGTTTCATTTACATTAATTAGGTTTGGCTATTACCAAAGTCAAGTTGTTTTGTTTTAACAGATTAGGTGAATAGTAATAAGGAGGACCAGGATGTTATTTTCTATACTGGGGTTTTAATACGGGGCCCCACCAGGTATATTTCATGCTTCCTCTTCTCCTGAAGGGTAGGAAATTCAGGTTAGCTTTTACAGGATACAATTTAATTGGGAGGAAACAACAGTGGAGGTATATGTTGCCTTTCCGGTAATCTGTTTATGTCCTTAATATTCACCTTGAACAGGAATGATGGGTCACAGCAGCAAGCACAGAGGCAGGGGGGCTATGCTAGCTCCACAGCCAGAGCAACCCAAAGGGCTGCCAGGTGCTTACCAGCTACCAGTGGGGGCTCCAGTCTGTTCCCCCAGGATGCTCTAGCATTTGGACAAAAAAAGCCCCTCTATGGTTACCATAGAGTTTTTACCAAAATGCTAGAGTGTCCCCTGCGTGACGTGCCTGGCACAGTAACGGCACCTGAGGGTGACATCATCATGCTGGGCACATCAGGTGCAAGGAAGCTGTTCAGGGGTGGGGCTTCCTCTGCCGACCAGCTAGTCAGTGGTGGACTGAAACCCTCGAAAGTGGGGGAACCCCCACCACCCCCAGGGGTCTGGCAACCCTAGCACCCCCGCACCATAGCCAGAAAAATATTATTGGGAGGGAATGAGTACAATGGTGGAGAGCAAATTATTATTTATTTACTTTATTATGTATTTATACTTTATAATTTAAATAAATCCTTCCTTTAGAAATAGAACTAGAATTACAAAAACTAGAAAAGTGCAAAGAAGTATCAGATTTGCTCAGTGAATGAGATACGATGTAGTGCACAGTCTCTACAAGAAGGTTAAACAATAATCCATTTTGTTTAAAACCAAATATCCCCTTCCTTTATTTATAGAACTAGAATTACAAAAACTAGAAAAGTGCAAAGAAGTATCAGATTTGCTCAGTGAATGAGATACGATGTAGTGCACAGTCTCTACAAGAAGGTTAAACAATAATCCATTTTGTTTAAAACCAAATATCCCCTTCCTTTATTTATACATGATGAACAGTCTTGTAAATGCATGAAGATCCTTGCCCCCATATTATTTGTCCCACTTCCACTTTCCTGAGTTGGAGAGTGCCAAATGAGAATCCCCTCCACTAACATATTACCATAAAAGCAGAGGTCGATTCGGGGAATCGCGGGGGATCGCCGTTCTCCCGGGTGAGGTGCCAAGGGGGGGCACACGACGAAGCCCTGCCCCCTGCTTTCGGCCGCCCCCTGCTTCCAGCCTCATTCTGTTGCAGAAGGAGGAAGAAGCAGGAGGGTAAATTGGCATCCTCCCCCTCTGCCTGGCCGAGGCCACTTCACATGGCCTCCGCAAGGACTCCCAGCCCCATCCAGGAGCTTCCCCGAGGTAGCTGTGTTAGTCTGTTCCTGCAAAATAGTCCAAGAGTTCAAATAGCACCTTTAAGACTAACAAATAGCACCTTTAAGACTAACCTTTAAGACTAAGACTAACTGAGTGGTGGGTGTGGCATGACACACTTCCGGTGATGGCAGGGGGGTGGCCTTATGACACACTTCCGGTGTAAGGGGGTGTGGCCTTATGACACACTTCCGGTGATGTCAGGGGTGTGGCATATGCTAATGAGTTATGTTAATGAGTTCCCCTAGCTCTTTTTCTACGAAACGACCCCTGCATAAAAGTGTCTGTTTCTTCCTCTGACCATGAAATGAGGCTTTGCTAGCAGAGATTACAGAAGAAAGTGCATTTTCTTGGATCGATGGCCCCTTTGATTCACAAAACCATTTTCCATTGAAGTCACACACACAACAAACCCAAAACAGATGAGAAGGGAAGTTGGGGGTGCTCCCCTCTGCAGATACAGAGAGTGATCCCCCTCCCCAGCTGAACCCAGTTAAAAGAGAAAGCAAAATTGTTGCCAGCACCAATTCATCATCACCATTTTACAGTGATTTTAAAATGCTATGCTCTTTCCCCCCACCCCAAGTGTTTTCAAGGGCCAAAACAGCTGCACGGACACCAGCACACACTGTAAAATGGTCTCAAGTGTCCTTGTGAAAGGCAGAATACAGAGGCTGCTGCCGCCTCTCACCCCCTCTGATTCCAGCCACCTTTGAACCCTTCCCATCAGAGCTAAAATAGAGAGAGGGGGGAAAGCTCCTGCTTTAATGTGCTACAGCGCTCCTGATCAGAGGAATCCATGACTGGCACAAGCTAACAAGCCAAGGCACAAAAAGGGCTGTGTCACATGCTTCAGAGCACAGCAGGAGCAACTACTTTGTGCAGGAAGCAAAGTGCAAAGAGAAATCCGGAGCAGGAGGAGGGAAGGAGACACCCTCTCTCATTGGCAGAAGACTTGTGACAGATTTCACACCAACCACTAGTGCTGATTGGAGGGGCATGACAAATGATTGAAGGGGTCCCGCCCCTTTGTGCACCATCATACATGGCTATGGGCCTGCACACCCCTCCATTCACACATTCCTCCACACATCCAAATCCACCTCTCTGCTAGATAAAGGAACATTTACTTTGGACGCCATTCTTAGACACATGCTGACAAGCAAAACTGGTTTTAACCCTTTACCTCCTACATCAGGTGGATAGACATGTATTCCTGCTGCTTAGAACCGCCAAGTGCCCATTAGTGTCTAATATTAATGCCAGCCATTTAAATGCCAGTTCCTGACGTTCTAGCCCCGTCACACTGTGAAGCCCCCAGCAACGCCTGTCTCCTGGCCTTGGCTTGCTTTCCTGGCTTTTGTTTGTAGCTGGTTCCCTGGATCCAAACTCCATGCTCCCCTTTCATCTTGAATACTGGTCAATATCCTACAAAGATTTTTTTTTTTACAAGAACCTACCACTGGTGGTACCATGCTGCATTCCCATGCAGAAAGAAAACCTTGAGCTACTAGTTCATTACTGCATCACCAGAGGTGCAAGAAACAGTATTCCCCCTACAAAAGTATACTGCGTCACATGGTCTTGCAGAGTCAGATCAATCTTTTCTGCTATATCAATTTCACAGTAAATGCGCCATCTGCTATTTCCCACATGTACAACACGGATAGGCCCTATGGAGGCCAGTGTGCCTGTGGATTGGCCACCACTTCTGACCCTGATGCAGCCATGCCCTTATAGCAAGGAAGCTCAACATTTGTTCTTTTATTTCCAACAGATCTCCCGCCTGCTGGAATCACATACTGAGTACAGTTATTGGGGGGGTGGGGGGTGGATCTGCAATGCAGATCCACAAATGTTTGTTGCATACTGCATGTCCATGGTGATTTGCCACAGACCTAATTGCATGCATAGGGTTGCCGTAAGTCGGAAGCAGCTTGACAGCACTTAACACACACGCCATTGCAGTAGGGATGAGCAAATGTTCCCCGTTTTATTTGCTTTTTATATTCATTTCTATTTCTTTTAATGGCTTCCATTTCCTGCTTTTCATTCTTAGATATGTAGATTTGTTTGTCACGTGTACACAATTTATACAGCATTTATAAGTACAACTAAGTCATTTATACCCATTATTGTGTAACATATAACGTTGACACACAAAGAACACAGACAAATGCATACATCTTACAAAAAAAGTTTTTGTGAGGAAGCAACCAATGTTGCACAGGTTCTATTCTCACAAGGACGAAGAAAAAATGAAGCCGTGATTTGGGGGTCTAAATATCAGGGATGAGAAATTCAGAAGCATCCCTAAACTGCTAATCATATTTCCCCCTTCAAAAGATCAGCCAACTCTATAAGCAATATAATGCATATTTGAGTTACTGTTTTAACTTAATTGTGCATCATCTTGCATATAAAAGTATTCACTTCTTTTTTGTAGCTCCAATAATAATATTTTCAAACCTTCTGTCTCAGGTCACTTACACTCAACAGTGGATCTGATGTTTTTGCATTAGAAGAGGAACATTATACATATTTGTGTCATTTCAACCTTGATGGCATCTTTCTGTTTCACAGTCCAGAGACCCTGCAAGCCTCTAAACTGCTGCCAGTATTAAGCGTCGCAATCCTTACCTCATAATGGGCCACGCGCTGAGATTCTGATATTAGCTGAGCGCTGCACACTTTACAGTAGGTTTCTGTGAATAATTCCTGGTCAATATCCGATGACTTCATCTGCTTACAATGACACAAATAAAACAATAAAATAAGAGAGAGTGAATCATTGTCGTCACAGTCCTGGCACACAACTTGCAGCAGATATCAAATAGCATTTCACAATGATCCGTGAAAAGAGCTGAGCGAATAACTTTCTTGTGAGAAAGTTAGAGATAAAGTAAAAATTGCCATTACAATGGAATTAGACAGTATCAGAAGCAAGTCTATGCAATTATGCAGACTGGAGAGTTGTAGTTTCCCCAAGCCTAAATATTCAGCAATCTTATGTAAGACCCATCAGTCTTTAGAAGGCTTGCAAGTAAGTGTGGAAGTACAGAGACTTCAATAAAGAGAAAATGAAAATGCCCTTAAATCCGAAAGTCAGTTTTGATGTTAACCAATAATGCCGTCAAAGCTCATACTCCTTTTGTTCTGTGTACAGCAGCTCTTAATACTCTTTTTCAAAAGAGAAGTCAGCCTCACAGCCTCCCATTTCTACTATGGAGTGGATGATGCACTTGAGCACAAAAAGAATTCCCTCTTCCCTCTCTAACACATATCACGGGGTTGTTGTGAGGATATTATGGAGGTGGGTGAATTCATGTTTGTCACGCTAAACTCCTAAGAGGAACTGTAGGATAGAAATGTGATAGACAGAATATGGATTAGAATATACCCCGACTTCCCAATGGCTGGAGGGAAAGTTAATTCTGGTTGTGGGATCATCTTCTAAGGTTGCCAACCTCCAGGTGGTGGCTGGAGATCTCCCTCTATTACAACTGATCTCCAGGCAACAGAGATCAGTTCACCTGGAGAAATGGCCACTTTCGAAGGTGGACTTTATGGCACTATACCCCTTTGAAGACCCTGCCCTCCACAGGCTCCGCACCCAAAATCTTCAGGTATTCCCCAACCTGGAGCAAATTGTCTAACTGAGGAACCTCTGTCAAGCTTTTGAGAAGAGTTCCCTTACACTAGTGTATCAGCTGCCCTCAAAATATCCCAAATATATAACAGGGATAACAAAAAAAACAAAACCCAAAACCAAAACACCTGTATTTATTCATTTATTTATTTAAATTATTTGGAGACTTGCCTTTCTCCCAGAAGTCTGGGACTCAAGGCAGGTAACCCAACATACTGTTTTAAAACAATAAAATATAATTAAAACTTATAAGAAAGCCACAAATTAAAATCACAGCAACTGGTGCAAGGGAGGGAGTACTGGAGGGGAGTGGGTGTCAAAACAACCTCATCTGCAGCAGTCAAACATCATGAGAACATCTGCCCAGTGCTGCACCACTGGCTCTCCAGTCCGCCCATATGGGTTTTCCTTTGCACACACACCCTCCCAGTCCATGGGGCCTTGGAGTGAGGATACACCAACTCGGAGCTTACCAGCTGCTGTCCTTTATACAGTTTCTATCTCCGGTACCTGGCAATATCCGGTACCTGGCAATATGTTTTAAGGCACACATGGCCTGGCCCGACAAAGTGACATTTATGTCAGATCCGGCCCTCGTAACAAATGAGTTTGACACCTCAGCCCTAGTAGACGGCTAGATGGCCATCTGTCAGCAATGCTGATTTTGTGAACTTAGGCAGATCATGAGTGGGAGGGCAGGAAGGGTTGCCTCAGTGCTTAGTTCTTGTAGCCCTTTCTTGCACGCCCAGGGAAATGCTGATTGCCACTTTGGGGTCAGGAAGCAATTTTTCTCCAGGCCAGTTTAGCTGGAGATTCTGGAATTTTTTTGGTCATCTTCTGGGCATGGAACAGTGGTTACTGGAGGTGTGGAGGGGGAGGTATTTGTGAATTTCCTGCATTGTGCAGGGGGTTGGACTAGATGACCCTGGAGGTCCCTTCCAACACTATGACTTTATGATTCTAGTAAAATAGCTGCAGCCAATATAATGAGTGTAAGATCAGATCTCCAGGCTACTCATATACATACACCAGTTGCAGTATTTTGTACTACTTGCAATTTCCAAGGTGTCTTCAAGAGCAGGCCCACATGCAGTGTGTCACAGCAGTAAAGTCTCAAGGTGACTGTACAATGAATCAGTAAAGCATGATCAGGTCAAGAGGGCTGCTAGTTGATGGGCCAGGCACAGTGGGGGGGGGGGAACCACATTTTGGGCCATTGTATTAATCTGCTTCCCTAGCAAAAGAGCTGGGTCTAGCACACTCACAGTACAATCCTCAACCAAGTTATACCCTTCTAAGTCCATTTAAATTGATGGTCTTAGAAGGGTGCGATTCTGTTTAAGATTGTGCTGCCAACCTGTGAACAGCACCTGCCAGAGAAAGCTGCCCCCATCTAAAGACAGAAGTTCAGCTCCCTCCAGGACCTCAATTTTACCAACAAACATCATCTCTGCTTTACCAGTGTTATGTTTCATTTTGTTCTCTCTCAGCCACTTGACTACAGCTGTCAGACAGTGTTCAAGGACAGTGACAGTAGCATTGTAGCCTTTTTCAAAGAAATACATATGTTGGGTCTAGCAAACTTGTTTACTAAGGATGTAAATAAAAAAGTAGCATCCAGCTGATACTGCCCCAGTCACAAATGCACTTAGCAGATCAAGCTGTTTTGCACACTGTACAAATATATCACTGTGGTTTGCATATGGTTGGAATTCTGTAAGAAAACAGATCTCCATCTGACTTGGTGTTGTGTGCATTTAGTGAGACATTTATTTTCATGCATGTGTTTTTAATGTGTTGCAGAAGAACCATTCAGGGGCAAGGACTCCAGTGACTGTAGAAACAATGGATGAAATTCATTTTACAGGACAGTCAATATCAGGCGTCTTGAGACCATTTTGGATTAGTAGGCATGAGATGATTACAGCCACCTTTGTTTCTCGTTGACTTTGTCTGTGGACACAGTCATCGGTCCCATTGTTCTTGCTGAATTTGACTCTTCTACCACAATTTTAGGCCACTTATATATTATATGCCATTTATTTATTTATAGCATTTTTAGCCTGCCTATCTCCAAAGGCAGGACTCAAGGCAGGTTCCAATAATGATTAAAACAGTACACAATCCTACAGTATACAATATATAAAGGTAAAGGTTCCCTTGCTCGAAAGCCAGTCGAATCCGACTCTAGGGTTGCGGTGCTCATCTCCGTTTCAAAGCCGAAGAGCCAGCGCTGTCCGAAGACGTTTCCGTGGTCATGTGGCCGGCATGACTAAACACCAAGGCGCACGGAACGCTGTTACCTTCCCACCGAAGTGGTACCTATTTATCTACTTGCAATTTCTTGCTTTCGAACTGCTAGGTTGGCAGGAGCTGGAACTAGAGACAGGAGCTCACCCCGTCTTGCGGCACACGGGTCTTGAACTGCTGAACTACTGACCTTCCACAGCCTGCAGTTCAGCGTCTTAACCACTTGAGCCACCGCAGCTCCTATACAATATATAACAATACATTAAAACTAACATATAATTCTAAGTTGGATAGTAGTGTCAGAAAGAGCTCCTGAATAACTCACATAATATGGAGAATCTCAGCTGGAAGTCTTATTCCATAAAATAGGAGCAGCCAGTGAAAAAGCCCTAAATTTTCCTTTGCCCATCCTAACTACCCTACAAGAGAGAATAATTTGTGTCACCAAAAAATGACTGTATTACAACAAAAGCTAATGTAGACTTGGAAAAAATGCAGAAGAGGACAACCATGACGATTGAGGAGTTGGAGTGCCTTTACTATAAGGAAAAACTAAAGCATCTGGGACTTTCAATTTAGAAAAAATGACTAAAGTTAGAATATGATAGAAATTTAAAAATTATGCACAGAGTGGAGAAAGTATATAGAAAAAAACCCTTTTAACCCATAATATTAGAACTTGGGGGCACCCAGTGAACTTGATGGGCAATTGGCTCAGGATAGGCAAAAGGAAGTACTTCTTCACTCCAGGAATGATTAAATTGTGGAATTCACTGCCAGTGGACACAGTGATGGCCTTGAGTATAAATGGCTTTACAGGGGGTGGACAGATTCATGAAGGATATGTCCATCAGTGGCTTCTAGCCATGGTGACTCAAGGGAACCTTTCAACATCACTAGAAAGCAACACTGGAAAAGGTCTTGGCCATTATACCTTATTTGCCCTATTGGGTAGCTGCTTGACTGTATAAAAGCAGATGGACTACTGGTCTTATCTTGTTAGGTTCTTGTGATGTTGAAAATGTAGTTCATTTTCATGGAGAACGAACTGACATCAGGAAAGAGAAAGAGGATCACACATGCCACCATCTTACATTTGGATGCTGGGTTGTGATGGCGATTCACTGCACTTAGTTTACGTGTCTTTTGATACACCTGTAAATACAGAAACCCAGCCTATGCCTCTAGTCTAGGGAGGATTGCCCCACCCAGCACCGACTGAACACTGTGACAGAGAGGCATATTCAGAATGTACTAGGAACCTACAGCTTACAATCAGCTTCCAGGCCTCTTCTGGCTGCAGTGCTGAATGTAGGGACCCAAGTTCTAGGGGGCACTGAGCTTGGGGATGCATGCCACAGGTTCTCTATTCAGCTATTCACTGCACACCAGAAACCAATAATACAAAGAGTGAATATTCACATGTGGAGCTAGCCACACCAATTTGCAGTATTAGTACCTATTTTTAAAAAATTTATTTACTTTCAATTTATATCCCGCCTTGCCGGTGTAAACTGGCTCAAGGCAGCTTACACAAGTTAAAATGCAGTAAAGCCAATAAATACAATAAAATTACAATAAGAACAATTACATAAAATGCTAATATAAACAGATGACGGGAATTTCTGTACGTGGTCCGATGGGGAAAGGCCATGTCCGGCATTGTTATGTAAGGCTGTAATATGTTCAGTTTACAAAGGTTGTCACTGGCGGCTCCTAATCGAAGGCCTGGTGGAAGAGCTCCGTTTTACAGGCCCTGCAGAAATGTAAAAGGTCCCGCAGGGCCCTGATGTCCTCCGGGAGCTCATTCCACCAGTGTAGAGCCGCCACTGAAAAAGCCCTA